AGGGCTGCTTGTAGTAGGGGATAGGGGAGGAGATGATGACGCACCAGGGTCCCCAGTGTATAGCGGGTATCGCAGTCTGGCATCTGCTTGCTGGGATGTGTTGTCCTCCTCATGGCTGCTGTGTCCTTCATTACTGCAGCCGGCGCCATCTTGGATCCCTGCTGTGACAGCAGGGAAGAAATGAGTTAATTTCTCTGGCTGTCCAGGGGTTTTGCGGTGGCAGGGCATCACTGGTGAGGGTTGTACACCTCTTAGCTGTCAGAATCTGACAGTTATATCCCTCGGGGCCGGGGACGTGCCGTGCTGAGTCTGGCAGGTGGACGGAGCGGTGATTACAGCGCGTCTATCCAGGAGCCGGCCGCGCATGCGCCTCCTATCCTAACAATTTTAGGGACATAATAAATTTGAAGTATGAAGTTTTAACATTGCATTTGTATTTTTTACATATTTTCAGATTTTTAATAAAATCTAATAAAACAACCAACATTTTTTTTTTCACATTGGGAGTAGTAGTTACATTGAATGACATTTTCAGGTGCCAGCTTGTCTAAATAGTACAGCTCATGTTTTAATCATAAAAAAATATAAATAAACAGCGCAAATCAAAACCCCCTCACCAAATGAATAACATACATCAAATCCATACAGTGTATAAATCAATATAAATATTAAATACCGTATTTTTCGCCGTATAAGACGCACTTTTTCTTCCCCAAAACTGGGGGGAAATGTCAGTGCGTCTTATAGAGCGAATATGGAGCGGCCGGTCCGGTATTTCCACCGCGGCCGTGTCAGAATACCGGGCCGGCCGCTCAGCTCTGCAGCGGGACCTTACCTGTTCCTCTATCCAGCGGCGTGCTGTCTTCCCGGCTTGTGTAGTGCGGGCACTGGGCATGACAGCCGGGTGCCAAGTGCGCATGCGCAAGAAGCGGTGCTTTTTGTGAATGGTAAGGCGGTACCTGGGACACATGACAGATCCCAGAAGCCGCCGGACCAATCACAAAGCGCAAGTGCTTCTCGCTCATGTGCACTGGGCACCCGGCTGTCATGCCGAGCGCCATTACAGAAGCCGGGAAGACAGCGCGTGGCTGGATCGAGGAACAGGTAAGATCAAAACAAAAACTCTGCGGAAGTAAGAGCGGGTACCTGTCAAATTCAGGTACCTGCTCCCCACCTCCCCAAAGGTCAGCAGTCATCTGTACTGTCCGCAGTCTCTGGTCATCCCTGTGCTGTCCGCAGTCTCTGGTCATCCCTGTGCTGTCCGCAGTCTCTGGTCATCCCTGTGCTGTCCGCAGTCTCTGGTCATCCCTGTGCTGTCCGCAGTCTCTGGTCATCCCTGTGCTGTCCGCAGTCTCTGGTCATCCCTGTGCTGTCCACAGTCTCTGGTCATCCCTGTGCTGTCCACAGTCTCTGGTCATCCCTGTGCTGTCCGCAGTCTCTGGTCATCTCCTGTACTGTGTCTGCAGTCTCTGGTCATCTCCTGTACTGTGTCCGCAGTCTCTGGTCATCCCTGTACTGTGTCCGCAGTCTCTGGTCATCTCCTGTACTGTGTCTGCAGTCCATTAGTTCAGAATTTTTTTTTTCCTGTTTTCTGCCTCTAAAACCTAGGTGCGTCTTATGGTCAGGTGCGTCTTATACGGCGAAAAATACGGTAATAATAAAGTGTCCAAAAATATATTTATAATTAAAATAAAAAATACAAAAAATGAACAAAAGTCCTTCTTCCAAAATAAATTGTGTATATTAAAAAACTATTAACAAAAGCCTTCTCCTAAAAGATTGTGCTTCCACCATCCACCAGTGAGAAACTAACACATCACATCATCCCCCAGATGTCCCTGCGGCGCAACGTGTTGGGGAGGGGCAGTGACGTCACCGCACATCTGATACGGCGAGTACTGACAGCGTGGGGCACACACCCTCTAGTCCCATCTTCACCGCAGGCAGCGGCTCTTTTATACTGAAAATGTTTTTTTATAACATATGAGTGCATTATGGAAGCAGATTAAAGACTTGATATATCTCTGGGATAAGGCACCATATCTTCTCTTTTTTCTTGCATGATCTTTGCGAGGAGCATTCAGTGGTTGAAACAAGGAGTGGATCAAAGGAGGGATTATCCCTCACAGGCACACAGGCTAATTACAAAGCTGCAAGATTGAAGCAGACCACTCATTGAAAGGAGAGTATCATCATCTGATTTGGTTGGAACACTCAAGCACTTTTGCAATTGGAACTTTGAATATGATTTAATATTGATTATTTTTCATATATTTTTATATTTATTTATTTACATTTTTTATATATATTTTCTTATATGAACTAGCACTTGGTTCACTGATGAAATAGTGGCACATATATATTAGTATTGCACAGTGATTACCAGCTTATAGTACTAATAACTTAGTATTGGTGATTATTTTGTATATATATTAGAAGCACTTTTTAGTTAGTAATGGAGCGCGGTTATTATTTGATCAGTTGTTATTAAACCCCCACTATAGCCTCCAGGACTCCTTTCCACCATATAGGGCTTTGGATTCTCCTTCCACTTGCTCCTGCTATCTCCATTCAACCAAGCTCAGTGCAAGGGAGAAAAAATATAAAAGAGTGTAATACTGCTATTACCCAGCAGTACTAATAATAATACCAGGCCAATCACATTTCAAAAGATGAATAAAAGCATTAATGTCAGGGCAGGGGCCGAGGAACGGACAGGCAGGCCTAACAATGTAACGCACTGGCTGACGACAACCACCACCCACAGACCGAAGTCCCTCAGGGTGCGGAGTCTAAGTCCCAGGCTGCCCTTCACCAGGGCCCCTGATGGTGGGGATGGACTTGACACAGCCAGGAACCAGGTTGCGGCCCCCGAGACACCTCAGCTGCGGTAATGGCCGCCGCCAATGGCATGTAGCTGGTGGAAGAGACAAAAGAGCAGTCAGACAAGCCGGGTCAACAACAACAGGACAAAACAGTACAGGACAGCAGACGAGAATCACAGGTCACGAGCCGGGTTCAGCAACAGAGGGTCAGATCAAAGGAGAATACAAAGAATAGTCAAGTAACAAGCCGAATCAGATACCAGGAGAGTCACGAGAGTCAGAACAGAGTAATAGCAACACAAAGACACAAGACACAAGTGCAAAGAGCATGTGCGGGCCACAGGCTTATATGTCATCAGCCACACCCCTCTGGGGGATGGACCACAGAGACCTGAAGGCATAAAAGGATTCCCACCATGCACAGCAGAATCCAAGATGGACGCCAGCACATGGAGTAACAAAACCTCAGGGAAAAGGTAGGACCTTGACAATTAATTTATTGCTTCCATCGGCTCGCATAAATTCCATGACTTCCACAACCGGATTTCAGAAACCTCACAGCCTATTTTTGCACAGGATGACAGGATCAAAGATGGCCGCTTGGAACGCACCCCTCGGCGTGCGTTCCACTCACCGGACGTGATGCAGGACGTAAGGATGGCAGACCGGAAGTGCGTCGATGCGTTTCGCCCCTCCAACAGAGCGTTCTCAAGAAGCACAGAGAGTAGCCTAGCCCCCACTGTTACCTCCTCACCGGCTGTCACCAGCTGCTCTGTCTGAGCCAATGAGGAGGTATAGACCTGGGAGAGCTGCTGCTCTTGTGCACACAGCTGGATCGGGATCAGGCTCAGGTAAGCATTGGGGGGGGGGGCTGAGGGGGGAGCTGCAAACTGAAGGTTTTTTACCGTCATGTGTAAAATGCATAAAGATAAAAAATCTTCAGCCTGTAGAACCACATTAAAGGGATACATGTGTAAGGCCTTGTTTCTGAACGGTCATTTCTTTGAGGTGAAAATCTGTCCATATGAGTGTTGGTGGGACTTAATAGAACACTAATATCCACGCTTGTTTTTTTGCTTGTGGAAAACATCGGAGGATTTATGATGAATGTTTTTGGACACAGTTTTTTGAGTTTACAGTACATATTTTATGGACACTAATGCTTTGAAGAGTTTTGAGATTGTTAGTCACAAACATGCCTGAACACCCATCATTGTCTGTTCACACAGCTGCATCACCCTCATTATCACTAAATCTGATGACTGCTAAAGATTGCGTCAACACAGTGTGGTCAGTTTTCTGGTTATGATGAGAAATCAGCCTGCTCTCATCCAATACTCAAACCTCTGCAACCCCCCCCCCCCCCCCCCATAATTGCACAGCCTTTCACTGGAAAGACCAGTGTACTTCTATTTCACCTCTCCCAGATCTCTATGCAGCTGGGAACAGAGGGCATGTAATCACTTATGGAAAAAAAGGGAAAAAAATTATTTGTAATGGGACAGCAAAGTGGCCTGGCAGTCCTATCGGTCATTGGTTCAAATCCCAACCACAGCACCAACTGCCTGGAGTTTGCATGTTCTCCCTGTGCCTGTGTGGGTTTCCTCCAGGTACTCTGGTTTCCTCCCACACTCCAAAGACATGCTAGTAGGTTAATCGGTTCCTGTCTACATTGGCCTTAGCATGTGTAAGTATGAATGTGAGTTAGGGACCTTAGATTGTACACTCCATGAAGATTAGGGAATGATATGAATGTACAATATACATACCGTATTTTCCGGCGTATAAGACGACCCCTCTTCCAACGCACACCAAATAAAAATTAAAAAAACATCAGATTTGATTTCAATATGGTATGGTATTCCAATGATGGGGCACGATTCCTCGCTCTGACACCAATGATGGGGCACTATTCCACCCACTGACACCAATGATGGGGCACTATTCCTCCCACTGACACCAATGATGGGGCGCTATTCCTCCCACTGACACCAATGATGGGGCGCTATTCCTCCCACTGATACCAATGATGGGGCACTATTCCTCCCACTGACACCAATGATGGGGCACTATTCCTCCCACTGACACCAATAATGGGGCACTATTCCTCCCACTGACACCAATGATGGGGCACTATTCCTCCCACTGACACCAATGATGGGGCACTATTCCTCCCACTGATACCAATGATGGGGCACTATTCCTCCCACTGACACCAATGATGGGGCGCTATTCCTCCCACTGATACCAATGATGGGGCACTATTCCTCCTCCCACTGACACCAATGATGGGACGCTATTCCTCCCACTGACACCAATGATGGGGCACTATTCCTCCCACTGACACCAATGATGGGGGCGCTATTCCTCCCACTGATACCAATGATGGGGCACTATTCCTCCCACTGACACCAATGATGGGGCGCTATTCCTCCCACTGACACCAATGATGGGGCACTATTCCTCCCACTGACACCAATGATGGGGCACTATTCCTCCCACTAATACCAATGATGGGGCACTATTCCCCCCACTGACACCAATGATGGGGTGCTATTCCTCCCACTGATATAAATAATGGGACACTATCCCTCCCACTGACACCAATGATGAGGCACTATTCCTCCCATTGACACCAATGATGGGACACTATTCCTCCCATTGACACCAATGATGGTGCCCCATCATTAGTGTCAGTGTGTGAGGAATAGTGTCCCATCATTGGTATCAGAGCGAGGAATCGTGCCCCATCATTGGTGTCAGTGTGGGAATAGTGCCCCATCATTGGTGTCAGTGGGAGGAATAGTGCCCCATCATTGGTATCAGTGGGAGGAATATCGTGCCCCATCATTGGTGTCAGTGGGAGGAATCGTGCCCCATCATTGGTGTCAGTGGGAGGAATAGTGCCCCATCATTGGTGTCAGTGGGAGGAATTGTGCCCCATCATTGGTGTCAGAGCAACGAATCATGCCCCATCATTGGTGTCAGTGGGAGGAATAGCACCCCATCATTGGTGTCAGTGGGGGAAGAATTGTGCCCCATCATTGGTGTCAGTGGGAGGAATAGCACCCCATCATTAGTGTCAGTGGGAGGAATAGCGCCCCATCATTGGTGTCAGTGGGAGGAATAGCGCCCCATCATTGGTGTCAGTGGGAGGAATAGTGCCCCATCATTGGTATCAGTGGGAGGAATAGTGCCCCATCATTGGTATCAGTGGGAGGAATAGTACCCCGTCAGGGGGGAGAGGAATAGTGCCCCATCGTTGGTGTCAGTGGGAGGAATAATGCCCCATCATTAGTATCAGTGACACCAATGATGGGGCGCTATTCCTCCCACTGACACCAATGACACTTGCTGACTCCTGTTCCAGTATGGTACTGCTGCAGCCAGCATATGTTGTTGCAGCAGCACCTAAGCACGGCACACTTACCGGCTTCTCCCTCATTTGATTTTTGCGGGTCCGCTCGGCTCCGCCTCCTCGCCCGTGATTGGCCGCCTGTGTGCCTTTCCTGAGCTACAGTTCTGGCGGCCAATCACCGATGAGGAGGCGGGAAGCCGAGCGGCAGGAGTGAGGGAGAGCAGCCGGAGTGACTGAAGGAGCAGCGCTTCCTGGATGGATCGTCGTGGGAGCCAGGTAAGAGACTGCAGCCCTCTGCCCACCCCTGTACTTAGTGTCCCTTCGTCGGAAGGGGGGGGACGGCGGCGGCACCGCGCCACCCCCTCTAAAAAGTGCCGCCCTGACGTATCCGGCGTATAAGACGACCCCCGACTTTTGAGTAGATTTTCAAGGGTCAAAAAGTCATCTTATACGCCGGAAAATACGGTAATGATATGTTTGTACTACCTGACTTTATAACATGCAGAGAAACTCTACCAGTGATAAAGGTTATCAATAATCAGTTATTTTTAAAAAAGAAGATTTCTTCAGAAGGTTTACTATCAGCAATAGTTTGGCTATAGCACTGCAATAGAGAAGATATCCTATCAGGAAAAGATAGGAGAGAGAAGACCGACACAGGCTGGGCAATGATATTGAAATTATATCTATTGTAACAGGCAGAGTACATTTTCAAAAAGCATTGGAATATTTTGAAGAATTCTTCCAAAATTGTAGAAAAACACAAAATATCTACTTGTAATTCAAAGTCCACTTATCAATCCCAATATTCCTCGGAAGGTACAAAATAAACGTAGTAAATCCCAAACCAGTGAAACAAGCCACCACCAAGGGAAGATCTGCAAAGGCTTCCTAGAGTCCCATGATCCCCAAATGAATAGCAATAGCCATAAATGGCAACAGCACAAAAGGGGAGTGGCCATTTCACAGGACGCGTCTGATAGCAGACATCCATGCACTTTAGTCCTCATACATGCTGATGTTTTTATGGCGGATGTTTTGGGCTTTTGGCATTTTTTTCAACAGCCAGCAAACCCCCCCCCCCCAGCATGTTATCATGTGTGTCCATGCACACATAGGCTTTAATCAGCGTTTTTCGACACAGGCGTTTTTTAGCTGGGTTTTTAGATGAGTTTTTAGCTGTAAAAATGCTCTAATGCTGGTAAATGAGGAAAAACGCTGTAAAATGCCGCAAACCAGCATTTTTTTGGGGCGTTTGTGGGGCAAAAAACATGGAAAAACGCAGCTAAATGCTACTGCAACAACACTAACAAAAAAAGCTGAAAAATGCGTGTCTTTAATGTACCGTATTTTCCGGCGTATAAGACAACCCCCCTACTTTTCCTGTTAAAATGTAGTGTTTGGGCTATACTCGCCGTATAAGACTACCCCTCTTCCAATGCACACCAGTGGGAAGAATAGTGCCCCATCATTGGTGTCAGTGGGAGGAATAGTGCCCCATCATTGGTGTCAGTGGGAGGAATAGTGCCCCATCATTAGTATCAGTGGGAGGAATAGTGCCCAGTCATTGGTGTCAGTGGGAGGAATAGCACCCCATCATTGGTGTCAGTGGGAGGAATAGTGCCCCATCATTGGTGTCAGTGGGAGGAATAGTGCCCCATCATTGGTGTCAGTGGGAGGAATAGTGCCCCGTCATTGTGTCAGTGTGAGGCATCGTGCCCCATCATTGGTGTCAGTGGGAGGAATAGTGTCCCATCATTGGTGTCAGTGGGGGGTGGAATAGTGCCCCATCATTGGTGTCAGTGGGAGGAATAGTGTCCCATCATTGGTGTCAGTGGGGGGTGGAATAGTGCCCCATCATTGGTGTCAGTGGGAGGGGGGAATAGTGTCCCATCGTTGGTGTCAGTGGGGAGGGAGGAAAAGTGCCCCATTGTCGGTGTCAGTGGAGGAATAATGCCCCATCATTGGTATCAGTGACACCAATGATGGGGCACTATTCCTCCCACTGACACTTGCTGACCCTGTTCAGTATGGTGCTGCTGCAGCAAGCATATATGGTTGCAGCAGCACCTGTGCACGGCACACTTACCTTCACTTGATTTTCGCGGGGCCGCTCGGCTCCGCCTCCTCCCCGGTGATTGGCCGCCTGTGTGCCTTTGCTGAGCTACAGTTCTGGCGGCCAATCACCGGTGAGGAGGCGGAGCCGAGCAGCCGCACGAACATCCAGTGGCCGAACTGAAGGAAGGAGCAGCTGCGCTTCCTGGACCGGATCGCCGTGGGACCGGAGCCAGGTAAGAAACAGAAGCCCCTGCCCCTGCCCACCCCTGTACTTAGTTTCACTTCCGTTGGAAGGGGGGGGGCGGCGGCGGCACCGCACCGCCCCCCTAAAAAGTGTCAGCATGCCGTATACCGGCGTATAAGACGACCCCCGACTTTTGAGAAGATTTTCAAGGGTCAAAAAGTCGTCTTATACGCCGGAAAATACGGTAATTTTACACAGCTAATGTACCAATGTTATAAGAACGCCCAGCGTGCATGGAGACTTACACTCAAAGAAAAAATTAAAGGAGAGCCATGTGCCACATAGTGTAAATCAGTCATTATTCTTTCATTGAAACAAAGGGAAAAAAACCTGCGCTACACCCCAGACAATACAATAAGTGAATACATGTGTGAAAAAAATATATATTCAGAAACAACAGTGAAACATTTAGTGAACTGCTGCTACTTTTTCCCTGAACACTAGAAAATACAAAACATAAAAAATGAGTGCGCTGTACACTAAAAAAATCATTAACAATAATAAATCAAATAAATACTGCTGCATAAAAAATGTGCATAAATTGTTTGAAATTATATAAGTTCACATTTTATACTAAATAATTAAAAGTCCCCAAATCCAATAAAACAGAGCTGTGTGCTAAAGAAATCCTCCAACGGAAAGTGCATAGGTGTACACAAATGCTTGACACAAAAGAAAAAAAAATCAGCCTCTTACCAGACACTTTGATCTTCAATCAAGAGATCAAACAAGCAGATGGTGTTCAGATCCCACACTGACACCCTAGTTAGCCATATGATGGAGATGAATGGACAACTCCAGGTTCACTTGAACAAATGCATCACATAATGCAAGGAAAGGTTTAAAACAGAAGAAGAAAACTTCATAGTGAGACCCGATAAACCAGCAAACAATGTATCAAAGTATTGCACTTACATAGATATGGTGCATAAAGGCATTTTAAACATTTACAATTCCTGTGAAGCCAGAACAAGGTGACGTCACAGAAAGCTCCACCGGACGCACATTTCTCCAAAAATGGCATCCTCTGGGATTGGAGAACAGTCGTTAACCCCTTCACGCCGAAGTCACACAAATATGCGGCCTCACGTAACTGGGCTTTTTTTCGTGGGGCTGCATATTTGCGTACCTGGCGCGCTCCCAGCACAAAGACAGGTACGCGAATATGCGGCCCCACGGAAAAAAAGCCCAGTTACGTGAGGCCGCATTGGCTATCACAGTGATCAGTCATTGTACAGCCCAGCCCCTGGCTTTTTTCTCTCTCTGTGAATGGAGGAGAGAGATACATTGTATCACCCTAACTCCTGGCATAGAGAGAAAAAAAAAATTTGTAAAAAAAAGAAAAAAAGAAAATAAATAAATATTAAAAAATAAAAGGAAAAATAAAGAAAAATACCTAGATCAAGGTTTGATCTAGTTCAGTGCCAGGGTTAGTGTTTGGGTCAAAGGTCAGGGTCAGGATTTAAATAAAAATGGTATCGGTGTCAGTTAGTGTTAATGTCAGTGTGTTTTAGATTAAAAAAAAAAGACAAAAACAAAATGCTCACTATTGTTTCTGGGCTGTACTACGGGTACAAACAACAAATAAAATAATACACATATATGGTATCGCTGCGATCGTCAAGAGTTGGATAATTTATTTTGGGTTGTTCTTTGGTGGTAGGTTATGGTCATAACAAGAAACACACAGCTAAAAAAAAAAAAATGATTTTTTTTTATTATTTTGGGCCAGTTTTCCTTTGATAATAAAAAAAATCAGGAGCTATCCATTATCATTTACTATCAAATGAAAGCCCAATTTATCCTGAAAAAATCAAGGTATAGTCCACCTGGATGTACAAAGTAGTTGTGGTGATACGGACGGTTTTACTAACACAGGTCAACGTTGCAGAATTGTGCTTAGGCATTTAGATTTGTTTTACCCTCAGGTGTGAAGGGGTTAAAAACTAAGATGGCACTCATGTGAAAAGATCAAGACAGAGCTGTAAAAATATCAAGGCAACCTCAGCATAGGGGACATCTTTATTTGCTAGATTTTTTTTTTCGCTTGAAAGTGGAGTTACCCTGTAAGCGAATTTCAAGTAGAAACATAGAAGAGTGATGACCAAAACAGCCCAAGTGGTCCATTGAGCCTGGCCCTTGTTTGAATGTTTGCTTTTTTTTGTTGGTTTGATGTTTGTTTTTCTCTATTGTACCCTTTTTTCAGACTATAGATCTATGGTAAAAATCCAATTCCTTCTGACTGACTCACTACTGTGGTGAAATGTTAACCTAAAGCAGTGCTTCTCAAATAGTGGGGCGCGTCA